TTCAAAAAAATTCAAATGCTTAATAAAGGTTTCAATCATAATTTTTCACAGTTTCTAGAAACAAAGTGGTGGTTATGGTGTTTTGTACATGTTTTTGTATGTATGTGTGTTTTTTTGAAGTGGGAAGGGGTACACAGTATACATAAACATTTTCACTCAACTAGTTCACATATTTGTTAAGGAGCCAGCTGAAGCCCGCCTCCTGGTGCGGGATTTTCTCGCTGTGTTGAAGACCCATTGGTGGCCTTAAGCTGTTTTCTGCGCTTTGGTCGGGTTGTTGTCTCTTTGACACATTCACCATTTCCATTTTCAATTATATTCCTGACAGACAGAATGACTACATATGTCAAATGAGACATGTGTAACGCACCTAAGTAATTTATATAAAATTAAAGGTAAACATTGTACACATTATATAGAAAAATATACTACAGCTTTAAGAATAAACAAACAAGAAATTAGTTCGTGGCAGATGCTTTTCCTTTTGATTTAGGTCGCACATTTAGACAGTATCACAAACAACGGATGTGTAAAACGACCTTGACTACATTGTACCCACGAGGGTCTCGCAAGGTCGATAAAATATCACAAAATTATAGCTAAGTAATATTTATATGATTACGAAAGGTTCTTTAAACTGGTATATAATATTTTCTAACGTTTCAAAACAAATGAAATATTTTAAAACTTAACATAAACGAATTATAAATACTAAGGTCTATTAAATATATATAGTTTGAAATGATTTAAAATGAAATCAAATTTATCATGTAACTGTCTAAAATAACACAGATTGTATGCCTGCGTTACCCAAATAAGATATAAGGTAAACCTGAACATTTTGACATTGTTTATTTTGTTAATCCGTGCTACTTCTTTAATATCAGATCAAATTCCTGTAAACATTTGAATAAGTACTGATATTACGATATCGTCAGGTAGAATCGGTATATTCCTACATGTAACGCTACCACTACAACTATAATTTTATGTTGAAACATACAATTTCTACTGACGACAAATATATCGTAGATGAACACGTGTCGAGGAATTTAAGGTTATACTGAACACAAGATTTTTTGCTTCCAAAATTATTCAAAGAGTCTTATATCCAATGTTCACTTACACATGTTTCGGTTCTTCTGGTATGACAAGTGTTCTTGTCAACGTTGAAATAAGAAAACAAATGTCAAGGGAGGCAATCAAAACCCTAATGGAAACCAAACTTACAATACCCTGACCGAAGTGTAAAGACGACGAAAAACAAAAATAACAGTCCATTAACTGCAAACATAAAACCAAAATTTGAGAAAATCCCACTAAAAAGAACTCGTTATCAAATACTACGACAAAGCTTTTATTGACAGAGTATGACTATTTCTTGAATGTAAGGTTTTGGATAAAATGTGATACTTTGAATTTGAATTTGTTGACAGCTGAAAGTTATTATTTTCGACTCTGTTTACTACTTGTCCGTATAGGATTACCAAATAGAGATTTTCCCCTTTATAAAAATGGCATTTCAATAATTTTGCTGTAAGCATATCTGTCGCAGTCCATGTAGCTATAAAAATTCCTTTTTTAGTAACGAAACTTACAGAAATACACTAATAAGGCAAGCAAACAGGGAAAATAATTCTAAACAAAACGTTAGAAAACACTACGCTCAATAAAATAAGAAGTAAAATAACAAAAACACCGAACTCCGAGGAAAATTCAAAATGGAAAGTCCCTAATCAAATGGCAAAATCAAAACTCAAACACATCAAACGAATGGATAACAACTGTCATATTCCTGATTTGGTACATGCTTAACGGCATAAGGAGTCCACAAAATGCTTCAAAGAAAATGTAAGATTGAGCAATGAAAATTGCTTTAAAAACCAGGACGAACTCAAGAGCTTCGGAAGGGTAAACAGTACCGGATCCACTATTGTCATCCGTCGTGTTGCTCAAGTAACATTCGGTAATGTTACAATAGAGAAATAGAGGAGAACAAAAGTAACATATCCAAAATAAATTCGGAGAAATTCAGTTTTTTTTTCATATATGTATGTTTCTTTTCTTTTTTTTTCTTTTTTAAAAACCAGTAAAGTGATTAGTAAAGGGGACTGAATGTTTCCTCTCCTTGTACATTTATTCGTTCTCTGTTGTGAATCACACTGCATTGCTAAACTTCAGGAAGACCAGATAATATATATGTCAAGGTTATATTCATACGGTTGATGGTCTTTTTTTGCTTCTCGTATTTTTCGGGATACGTTACTTTGAGGTAAGGAGCAATTCTAAACTGTTCCGTTTGTTTTCCTGCATTGAAATTATGTACACGTTTGTTTCTTGCATTTTAAACACTATGTTGTCTCCAGTATGGTCATCACGTTGGTATATGAATTATACACTAAAGTTAAGATGCATTGATTTAAAGATTAAGACTTCATTATTTATTATCAACATATTATCAAATACTTTAAGATTGCGTTCAGTAACTAAACGAATGTTTTGATACGTAATTACCTATCATAGTACTCGTGCATTGTGGTCTGTTATATAGTATTCAATTTTTTAATTACCATAAGTAACACGACGGGTAGCACATGTGGAGGAGGGTCTGCTCATACTACCGAAGCATTCATGTGTTTGGTTGAATCGTGTCGTTCAATCATAATTGTTTTACGCAGTGTTGTGAGAAATTTTTTGTCTTCGTTCTCTTTCGATTTTTTACATTTTTCTCTCGACTGATGAGATTTTAATCCCCACTGGTTATCGTCCGCTTCTTGTTTTTGTAATCTGTTATATAGTTAGTTTTTTTCTAGTACGGATATGTGTTGGTTGACCTTTTATGTACACATTGTTTGTCAACAGATAGCAAGTACGCGTGAGAGAATATATAGCTTAACATGTGACATTATTATGATGCTGTCGAATACCAGGAACCTCAACAGTGGTATTCAAATACCTATTTCAATTAAATGGGCATTTGAATAATTTTGAATTAATTGCTATTCATTCAATGTCTCTTTTAATTTTTGTGTTTATTTCTTTCTAAGATTCAGTGCGATCAAGAGCTTGACAAATGAGAATGTGCGTCGTTGTATGTGGGTGTGGATTGGGGTTTACAGAATAGAGAATAATTAATGGTCAAAAAAGAATAAAAAATAGAGAATAATGAGGTGCTAAAATATAAAGAATAAATGATAATGGGCAACAAGTATGAAAAATAGAGAAAAATGACATAAAAAAATAAAGAATACAGAAATGAGGTACCCCCCATCCAGACCTTTTTTTATGTCTCATTGACGTGTGTGCATCTGACTTTTTAATCAGGAAAAGCTGCAATCAATAAGGCTATCAAAATTTATTACTCTGCGAGTTTTGATTTTTTGCGAAACCAACCCATTAACAATTTTTGCAATAAAACACATTTCATAAGTTAACGAACTTGTAATAATTATATACTTGCAGATGTATACATCAACATGATGATATCATTGATCATGTTGAATAAAATACAATGATCACAATTGCAGGTCCACCGATAGAGCCATGTCTGGAGCATACGTGTATTGGCTCCACTTGCACTGAATATTCAAAAGTATGTGACGGTATCGTTGACTGCCCTTTCGGAGATGACGAATTTCTCTGTGGTAAGTAAAATTGACTATGAAAACACACTAGTAAACCAATCATCCCTGCACAGCTTTTAAAAGACTGAACAACGAACTTTAGAATGAAAATCACACTTTATAAGTCATGTCCAGTCTTTCAGTTAAGTGTCATTTCAGTTCAGGCAATTTGCTTCCGGTCATTTGAAATCTGCTCAGTCTATACTTGTCTGTATTTGGCAGAACCTTTCGACATATTTGGTCCTTAATACTCTTCCACTCCGTACTGTATTAGGTCTTTTAACTGTTCTATTCCTGTATCTGTCATACAAACTATAAACCTGGTATCTTTAATATGGTTTATTTCACTCTTGTTCAATCTGTTATTTACTCAAGTTGTCAACTTTTTCTCAAGATACAGTATGCATATAGAATATCTTAGTTCAGCAATTCGTATATTTCTCAGGTTTTGTTAATAACCGTACACCCCAAATTACATCTGATAAAACATTTTGAAATTCTAGTTTCTTCTTAGATGCTTGTTATTCTATTAAATATTCATGTCTTTTTCGTTACATTACATATTGAAATATCTTAACGCACATCTTATTATCCTAATTGTTAATTTGTTGACTAGGAAGACTTTTTAGAATATAACACAGCTGGACAAATTGTCAGCCAACTTGTTTTAAAACCCAACATAAATAATAAAGTACCATACACTGGCGTCTTGTCGACTAAAACGCACCAATGGTTTTTTGTTTTGTATATAAAGAAAACTTTCACAATATTTAATTGCCTTTTAAAATTTATGTCCCTTCTTCTTCCAAGATCATATGTGTTTATATTTTAAACAACTCAGGGAATCGCACGAACTCTAAATGAAACCTTGTTAGAGTAATCCACTATATAAGCATCACTGCAAGCCTCAGTTAAAATGTCAGGATACAGAATAGGACATGATACCGCTGCTGATGGACTATTAGTCCCCGAGGGTAACATCATATATAGATATAAGAAGATGTGGTATGAGTACCAATGAGACAACTCTCCATCCAAGTCACAATTTGTAAAAAGTAAACCATTATAGTTCAAAGTACGGCCTTCAACACGGAGCCTTGGCTCACACCGAACAGCAAGGTATAAAGGACCCATTAGTTCAGAAGACTATTCTGGTGTCTTTAAATATAAGACCGCGAATATATTGGTAAGTTAAGACAGAAATACATCGTATTGGTCAACTCATTTCCGCAAGTATCGTTTCACTTTTGTGGTGTCCAATTTAGTCGTTCTTTCTCAACACCAAGCTAGAACTTTTTTTGTCTCATGAGCATGCAACTACTGTTTATTAATTCAAGTGATTTCTTGTTTTATGTAGGTAATTGCCTTGCCGGACAAATGATTTGCGTTTTAGATGATGCTTGTTTATCTGCAAAAAAGATGTGTGATGGTATTGCTGACTGTAAGACAGGAGAAGACGAATATTTTTGCACACCTGAAGGTAAGTATGAACATAACCCATAACCATGATAACCCATAATAAAAAGGCCCTGAAAAGCCAAATGTAATACAATTCATACAAGAAAGCTAACTGCCTGATTTATGTACAAAACAATAAACGAAAAACAAATATGATATACAGCAACAAAGGACAACCACTGAATTCATGCTCTAGACTTGGTACTGCTTATACAGAATGTGTTGGGGTTAAACATGTTTGCTGGCGCCATCTCTCCCCAACCTAGACAGTGGTGTAACAGTACAGTATAACATGTATAAGAATAAGCTAAAAGCTATCCCAAGTCATGAGCCTGTAGTTCAGTGGTTGTCGGTGGTTCACGTCTGTCATATTTGTTTTTCTCAAATTGTTTTGTTCGTTATATATAAAGCCGTTAGTTTTCTCAATTGGATTGTTACATATTTTGCATGTCGGGGCCTTTCATAGCCGACTATACGGTATAGGTTTTTCTCAATGTTAAAGTCCGTATGGTTTCCTATAAGTGCTTACAAATACTTTATTTGAACTGTAGTGGATAGTTGTCTCATTGGCAATCATACCACATCTCCTTATTTTTCTATGAAAATCAGTTGAAAATTACTCATCAGATCGATAAAAAGTACAAAAACAACTAACAACAACACAAAATACACAAAGTACAAACTTGCATTTACTCAAAGCTAGTTCAAACCCCCATAACAACAAATACAAAATAATGTATCTAGGACTAAAGGTTTATTGTCAATATCTGCATGCAAACATCCCGAAAGAGTTAAGCAAGTGTTAAATTATGTATACATACTAGGCTTTCAAAATTGGGTTCCAGCGCATTTAATGAAGGTTATCCAAGAAAGGCGTTCAAAAGCTCCCAATACATTAAGTCTAATTTTCATTTTCCAGCACTGGTTCAAGTACTAAGTCACTAGATTTTATGATGACTGTTTATTGTATGAATTCGTATGAATGATGTTTTAACATTCTGAAAAGTATGAATAATATCTCATTTTTTCTCAATTTATTCAGAACATTCTGAATTTTCAAACAAATTCCGGACATTCTAAATTTGTCTTAACAAATTCTTAACATTCTGATTTTGTCTCGAAATGTTTGAAACTGTGTTTTACATTTATATAGAGTAATATATATTCAAAAACTATACTTCTATTGGCATTTGCCACCTTGGGGTGAAATGTTTTTTTAATACATTATATAAGATAAGATAAGATAAATTTTATTTCCAATAGAGGACCCATTAAAGGCATAATCAGTACATTGATTTGTTTTATCACACAATTGCAATAGACAATACACAAGAAAATAAAAAATAGAAATACAACTGACATAAAACATGAAATATAAATTGAGTTAATAATACATGTAGTCACATAAACCAGTATGTTTAGTGTTTATTGACCATGCACCAGAAGCAGCATCATATCCATTATAGAAAAACGCTTTTGAGTTCAGTCCTTCCTCGTGGCTGATGAACAAATAGTATTGTTGTTCATATGCAGGAGTCACCAAGGGCAGGTGCTTATAGGACACTCAAGCCAATACAAAGAAATATGAAAATTTAAACACTTTATATATGTAAAAATGTACACGATTCACGATACATTAATATTGAAAATGAGTTTTGCAGGCGGCCAATGTTTTGTTGTGCTGTGGTCAATTTTGGATTCTTGTGTTTCATTTTTGCTTATGTGCTTTGTCTATATGCCATTTTTGTCTATGTCGACATATTTGTTTTTGCAGTGATTAAGATTATAACACTTTGTTGACTGCTGTACCCCTATTTTCGACATTTTTACCTATTTTGTCTGTTTGTTTTGTTCATACATTGTTGTCAATAAAGGCAACAGTAGTATACTATACTATGAGTAGTAGAGTGTATACTATATTATGAGTAGTGTTCGAAACTCATAAATCGATAGAGATAAAAACAAATCCGGGTTACAAACTAAAACTGAGGGAAACGCATCAAATATAATAGGAATTTATGCGACTATCATACAAGTGAGAGGTTTAGCTAGCTATAAAACCAGGTTTAATTCACCATTTTCTACGAAAGGAAATGACTGTACCAAGTCAGGAATTTGACAGTTGTTTTCCATTCGTTTGATGTGTTTGAGCTTTTGATTTTGCCATTTGATAAAGGATTTTCCAAGTTGAATTTTCTTTGGAGTTCGGTATTTTTGTTATTTTAATTTTTATAATCAGTCAGATATGAAATTAGAATAACTAAACATAAGAATATTAGCACTGATTAGGTTGTAAATAGTGATTTGATTATAAATCATAAAAAAGAGTTGGAAAGCATGACCTTATACAATGCCAAAATATTAGCGTCGACAGGATGTAAACACGTACACCTTGATAACTGTTTACTTATGTTTCAATCTATTGATAATAAAATCAGTGTTAATACCGATTAAAACTGTATTCAGATATCTTATTACAAGGATACATTGTTAACCTTTGAGAATACATTGATTCTAAGGATCAAATTCAGATTCAAATTGAAACATATTTATACGGTATTCAGACTGTTGAGAACATATTTAGACATATTTAGGTAGTGTTCAAACGGTTCATGACATATTTAGACATATTTAGGCAGTGTTCAGACGGTACAGAACATATTTGGACATATAAAGACAATATTCAAACTGTTCATGACATATTTAGACATATTTAGGCAGTGTTCAGACGGTTCAGGACATATTTAGACATGTAAAGGCAGTGTTTAGGCGGTTCAAGACATATTTAGATATATTTAGGTAGTGTTCAAGCCGTTCATAATATATTTAGACATATGTATGTAGTGTTCAAACGGATCAGGACATATTTAGACATATTTAGGCAGCGTTCAGACGGTTCAGGACATATTTAGGCACATTCAGGCAGTGTTCATAACGTTTCAGAACATATTTAGACATATTCAAGCAGTGTTCAGACGATTCAGGACATATTTAGACATATTTAGGCAGTATTCAGACGGTACAGAACATATTAAGACATATAAAGAGAGTGTTCAGACGGTTCAGGACATATTTAGATATATTTAGGCAGTGTTCAGACGGTTCAGGACATATTCAGACATATTTAGGCAGTGTGCATACGGTTCAGAACATATTAGGACATATTAAAGCAGTAAACAAACGGTTCATGACATATTTAGACATATTTAGGCAGTGTTTAGACGGTTCTGGACATATCTAGACATTATTTGGCATTGTTTAAACGGTTCAGGACAAATTTAGTCATCTTTAAGCAGTGCACAGACGGTTCAGGACATATTTATAAACATATTTAGGATTTGCTCAGACGGTTGATGACATATTAAGACATATTAATGTAGAGTTCAGACGGTTCAGAAAATTAATAGACATATTAAGGCAGTGTTCAGACGGTTCAGAACATATTTAGACATATTTAGGCAGTGTTCAGACGGTTCAGATACACAGTTAGGAAAAATCAGAATGATTTTAAGATAATGAAGACAAATTAATACTTTTCATTATGTACAGAAAAAAATTCCTACAAACTTCCACAAAATTTGGTCGTTTGAAAATCTGGTGATTTCGTAGTGTTTGATACCGTTTTTAGTGTTATATATTGCTGCTATTGGAATTCTGATCTCCAAGGGTTTGAATCATCACCTCAGTAGTCAGTGCGTCAATACTGACTTCTAGTCTCCAAGGGTATCAACCATCAACTCAGTAGTCGCTTCGTCAATACTGACATTGGACTTCTAGTCTCTAAGGGTATCAATCATCAACTCAGTAGTCGCTTAGTCAATACTGACATTCGACTTCTAGTCTCCAAGGGTATCATTCATTAACTCAGTAGTCAGTGTGTCAATACTGACATTAGAATTCTAGTCTCCAAGGATTGTATGAAAGTCATTATAAAAGAGCTTTTTAAAATTGCTTTCATTCATCTTCAAATTATATTTACTCTGCATTAGATTTTAAGCAAGGAAAAACCAATAATTCAAATTTGACTTTTTTTTTTAACTTTCATTGAATATAGCTGGGTGTGACGGATACCAAAGTCATTTCAATTGTGATGACACGTGCCTTCCTTTGTACCAAAAATGTGATGGTTATGTTGATTGTAGTACTGGTGAGGATGAACAGGGATGCACAGGTAAGAGGCCGTTTCAGAAACTATAGGACTATGGGTAATTTTATTGTTCGTACCCCAAAATGAAAATAACGTCACGTCATTGGTTGAATTTCGATTGTTTAGAACGTTCTTAACCAATCACCACGCTTCGGTGTACTCTTTGTTTCCTCTACTTTGTATCGGTTATTGAATTAAGTCCTTTTAATTCGCTATCTTACAATTTAAATCATTATGTTTAATTTAATTGTTCGTATTCCAATTGAAAATTACCCTTGTCATTTGTTACATCTCCATTGTTAAGGATGTTTTTAACCAAGTAGTAGGTTTTGGTGGACGCTTATGAAAATTTTACCAAAAGTGAACTTGATTTGGAAACGGGGATCCCTTAAAAAAGCTAGCATGTTAAAATATAAACGAGACAACAATAACACATTTTGTTTTTTATTTTTTTACTTGAATGTTTTAAGAATAAATCCAAGATTCAGCGTTGTGCATGCCAAAATTAGTATGCCAAAATTTGTATAGTTAAAAGTAATTTATATTTATGACGTGTTGGAGCAAAGAATTCTTATCTGGAGAAACAATTTAATCATCGTAAGTTCAATAGGGTGAGGATGATTTTTTTTTACATTGACTGACACAATTTGTCTGAAAATTTCAAATAAAAATGTGCTGCAACATGAATTCACATTTTCAAATTCACCTAGAATCGTTGGCTACACGATAGAATATATGACCAGCAAGTTTGTTTTAAACTGTTCAGGGTATGTTACTTTAACCAAAGAGCATACAATGTATAATGATTTTTTACTAATTATTCTTATTAGACATCTTCACTATAAGCCGAAACCAAAACCAAAATCGATACCAAAACCAAAACCGGACCAGAGATGGCTCATTGGGTTGAAATGCTCATGTGCAAAAGTTAGTGTTTAATAAACTGAATCCGTATATATGAAGCTTACAATATCACACCGATTATCTTACTCCCCGGCAGTTCCAGCTCCAATGCGCATACTACTCTGTTGGTGGAGTAAGGGGAAATAGTTCCGGAACGGAAACGATCACTGTACGGAGTTTGACCGGTTTCTACATAAAACACCAATTCAAATGAATCTATGTAAATAATGAAGGCAATTATTATAACCTTTAATGAATAATATACAACTAAATATGTCAGTATTACTTAAGCTATGATGCACGCTAATCATGAAGAATTTTTCGCCGATGGAGCAGTGCATCTTAACTAATGTAATTGATGCCAAATGAGTTATCTACATAAAGTCTTTTCGTTGAAAAATTTGCATTGATCTAGCTTATCGCATCTTGTTTACTTGATCTTCTTGAAGTATATGGTATAACAATGGCGTCATCAGCTATTTATATTTTTGTCAACAAGCAATTTACAATCACGAGACAAATTTAAGTATTTGTCTGCAGATATAGCCTTCATCAATCTGTGTAAGTCATCGCATCATTGTTGTGAACATCGATTGCAGATTTCAGATATCTTATTTTACTTTAGGTATCTATCATATATTGATATAACCAGGGTCTCCTCTGAGTAATTTTTTTTTCGCCGCTCTTTTCGCCAAAACGATATATTTTTCGCCAACTAACATAAACATATTTTTTGTTTAGGATTTTCCTTCTTTTCAACAAAGAAAAATCGGTTTGCTGCATTGTTGTCTATTGAAATTAACATATCCATTTTCAGTCTAAAAGATACTGTAAAAATGCAATATAGATCATGAAATCATCATTTTGGTCTTCTGAGAATACGCGGTTCATCTTCAATGAGTGTATCGGATAGTTCTTATCTATTTGAAAGGATAAACACTAGCGTCAGAGATTTTTCTTTCTTTTGAACATATTTCTACATAACAGTTTTCTCCGACCATAGTAAAAAGAAAAAGTCGAGCGTCAAAATATGCGTCAAATACGTGCGTCGCTAAAACAATTGTAAAGTACCCACTTCAAAAAAATCTTTTTTATCAAAGTTGTACATTAATTCTCTAAGTGATATTTGAAGCCATTTAATCACATCATTTCATTTAACATTACAATCATCACCTTTATTAAACAATCCATTGTTGCCAATAACTATAAAATGTAATCAACTAATTATTGATTTTCAATAAAAATCGTAACGAGTTAAAAGTGAATTCCCAGTATTTTCTGAACAGGGGAAATTCAAAGAAACGCCAAAAAAATTAAGGAAGATGGACGAAGACGAATCATTATATTTCTTTCGTCAAATTTGGTTTCAGTTTTAGTTTCGGTTTCGATTTGTTTCGGCTTATGATGAATTTGTCTATTAGTAGTTTCCATTTAAAGATATTTTAAAGTAATCTGATGATGTTTGTTATATAATTGATCCAAAATGACATAAATTGTTCTGTTTTTTCATGTTTATGCTTTACTTTCTAAACTGTGGTCAAAAGCGTACCTGATGACAGTAAATCAGGAGAGACGTATTACTTGAACGGAATCTATATCAAATTTTGTTTTATTTTCTCTTCAGGATGTAATGCTAATTTCCAATGTAATGATGGAAGTTGTATTCCTTTTTTTGCTGAGTGTAACGGCAATATCGATTGTCCTGGTGGAGAGGATGAAGGACCTCAATGTAAGTAATATGTGTTTTTCATAGCAGTAATACGACAGGTGTCTCATGTGGAGCAGAATCTGCTAACCGTTCAGGAGCACCTGATATCTTCCCCGGTTTTTGGTAGGGTTTGTGTTGCTTAGTTTTTTTTGTTTTCTATGTTGTGTTAAGTGGCCTAGTGTTTATCTTGATCTTTTTCCTTTTTTTTTTGCCTTGGCGAAATCAGTTTATTTTCGACTTGTGAGTTTGAATATCCCTTTTGAATCTTTCGCCTCTCTTTGGATAACTGCATGTGATATCTATTGTATTGGTATTAAATAGAGAACGGAAGCTTTCAGTTGAGATTTAAAAAAAAATCATTGTGTCGCATCTAAATACCATAAAATGATGACATCTTTATAGCATCAATGCACATTTCTACAACAATTAGCCGTTTACTGATGATAAAATATTATATAGAAAAGTAACGTAGTATCACAGCGTCGTAGCTATAATGATTTCGTATAATAAATCAACTTTATAAGGTCCATAAATGGCAAATGAATGCATAGAAGATTGCCAATCCTTATATGCTGAATACATAAGTAAAGAAAGGCTGCTTGTCAGTATCGTTTTATGCCCAAATTTTTTTAAGCTTTAAAATTGAGAATGGAAACAGGGAACGTGTCGAAGAGACAACTACCCGACCAAGGAGCAGAAAAAAGCCCAAGGCCACAAATGGATCTTCAACACAGCGAGAAAATCCCGAACCCGGAGGTGTGCTTCAGGTGGCCGCTGAACAAAAATGTGTACTAGTTCAGCGAAAATGGACGTTACACTAAACTCCGAAACATAAAAATGAACCAAAATTTAAAAAACCTACAAGACTAACGAAGGCCAGAGACTCCTGACAGACGCTAAAATGCAGCGGAATTAAATATGTTTTGTGAGATCTCAACCCTCCCTCTATACCTGCAGCCAATGTAGAATAAGAAAAAAAAGGAAGCAATACGCAGTTAAACTCAGTTTAAATAAGTTCGAGTGCGATGCCAGAAAAGATAACAGAGGAAACTAAGAAAAATGACAATGGTACATAAATTAACAAAGGAGCTCCTGGCCTCAATTAAACTGATTGAAAGATAATGTCTTCATCATATGAAAATCAAGCACAATCCCTCCCGTTAGGGGATTAAAATCATACCCTCATAAAATATAAGAGAAGAATATAACCCGTATCATGCCAACAACTACTTGTAGAATAAATGTGTTTAGTTCCGACGCAAAGACCCTATATTAATTCCAAAAATGCCATCTTGTCCTGACATCATTATCGTAACTATATCCCTTCTGAATAAGTCTGTTTTAATATTTGGTTAGATTTTGAGGTGAATGCCGATATTTTTAATGCTTTGTATAGAATATTACCATAAGATTGGATGTGAAATACTTAGTACCTGAACGTATAAGATGTCTGTACGTTCATTTATATTTACGAATGGTGTTCTTGTCCTTGTGACATCGAGAACCCTAGTGTAATAATTTTTCAGAGATTTCTTTCGATAAAATCGAATACATTTTTACGTTCACCATCGAATCGAACACGTTGAGATATATAAACACCACAAGATGGTGACAAGGGAATGTCACTTTTTAAAAATGGATAATTAACAATAGAAAATGAAAACGTAAATTTTGGTATTAAGCTTCCCGTTCAAGATAAATATCAAGATCCAGGAATGGGCAGTGTTCATTGTTAGTATTAGTTTTACTTAAAGTAATTTCAGCAGAATAAATCTCTTTAGGGGAACATAATGAAGTCGTCATTATTAAGAGCCAATATATCTAAATATCTAAAGATGTTATTAAATGTTTGTATCAGATGTTGTTTCGAGCGACAGTTTGGTAGTGGAACAATGGCTTGAAGACGGAATAAATCTATATTTGTAAGGTGCTTTGTGCAGTTTCTGAACCCATGCATAGTTGGAACTTTCATTGTATTTGGTTCTGCTTTTAAAGAGGTAGCCAACAGTCTATGTTTGTTACATATGTCGTTTTCGGAAAATGAGTTAGTTGGTGAATTCGTGATTTTCTTTTGCAGAACCTCAATGTAAACTTCGTGTCAAACAATAATGGCAAAATATTTTTGCCAGCCCTTTCAGCCGGGACAAAAACAAATTCCTTGGCGAGTTATTTTTAGCTTATGTTTAATACGAGAAATAGGTCAATTTTGGTTGTTGTAAAGAGTAAAATGTTCCTTAAAATGTTTAATACAAATATCAAATATGTTCATTACTGAATTAAAAAAAAGGAATCTAAGGATTTTTTTGTCAAATTTTTCTCGTTTTATCCATTTTGTGCAGTAAGTACGGACTGAGTTTTGGATAATGTTACGACACTCATTTCAATTATTGATATTTAGGTCCGTTACTGAGGAATGATTTCAACTCTCGGTCATGGACGATGTTAAGGTATCCTGTTATAACATGAAAACAAACTGGGGCCATTATGCATAAATGTATTTGGAATAACTGCAATGATGTAGGTGTATTGTCACTGATATTTACATCGTTACACAGTTCGCTATTAATAAACACATATATCCGGGTAGATAATTTGTAAACATAACAAATGAGAGGGAGCTCAGTATTATCAAAATAGCCAGGAATTTGTTCTTTAACGGAATGATCATTAAAAATACCGGCAATATTTACAAAATCAAAACCTTTACTGATATATTTGATTTTAGTTAAATGTTTTTTTTATGATCTTCAGGGCGATCAATTTCGGAAAACAGTTTAGAATAACAATATCCAATTATATTCCTCCATGAATAAACCATATAGGAACATTGTCGAAAATGATAAAAGTTATTAGTTCAAACTTATGATACAGGAGTAAAAGCGCAACGATCTTTTCGCTTGTTTCTTAGCGATTACAAATCAATTTTATATTTTACGACAATACACATGGAAGTATATTGCATATTGCTTTTAAACTGCTATCTCACTTTCGCCTTGAATTTTAGAGTTTGTTTCTAATTTGATGTCTTTTTTTTGAAGAAAAATCGACATGGTTTAACTTCAAACAGCGAAGAAGATACCAAAATTGCGATATGATGTACATCCGTAGTTGCAATATCATTGTATTATCAAAATAAGAAAAAGATATTCGTCGACGACATTTGTATATGACTGAAATATATATTATAAAAAGTTAAATAACAAAAATACCGAACTGAAACGGAAATAGATATAGGAAGATGTGGCATGAGTGCCAATGAAACAACTCTCCATCCAAGTTACAATTTATAAAAGTAAACCATTATAGGAAATTCCCTAATCAAATGGCAAAATCAAAAGCTCAAACACATCAAACGAATGGATAACAACTGTCATATTCCTGACTTGGTACAGGTATTTTCCTATGTAGGTAATGGTGGATTAAACCTGGTTTTATAGCTAGCAAAACCTCTCACTTGTATGACTGTCGCATACAAATCCATTTTATTGACAACAATGTGTGAAAAAACAAATAGACATAAGAGGTAAAAATGTCAAAAATAGGGGTACAGCAGTCAACATTGTGTTATAATCTTAATGACTATAAATACTAACAAATATGTCAACAAAGAAAAACAAAAAAGCATATAGACAAAAATCATTAGCAAAAACGAAAGGCAAGAATACAAAGATTTACCATATAAGGCGTGATGAATAAAATTTACAGTATAAGACGGGATGAATAAAATTTACAATATTCTCCTTGTCAACACAAATGCTGTCAAATATTATATCTAAGAACATGTGTTGATGTCAGAATGTCCGTTTGATGGGTCATTTCACAATAGGCCGTAGAATCTAAAGGACTATGGGTCATTATACGTCACGTCATTGGTTGAATTTCAATTGTTTATGATTTTTTTAACCAATCACGACGCTTTGATGTAAATTTTTGAAAATATTACCCAGAATGCCTTAGATTCTGAAACGGCGAATTAAGTTACCATCTAGAACATGAAGTACGTATATTTTAGTTACACAAAAATTCTATGGTACACTTTAGACATAAATAATCTGGAAAGTTTGATCTAATAGTTTGATAAACAGGTAACACTACGATTAAGATATTGAATTTAAAATAAATCTTAAAACGTTTAACAATTCTCTTTTCCTAGATATTGACAAATAAATCTTCTTTTTCTTTGGCTTACATATGCATTTGTATGAAATCAGGTTCTTTCATAGACTTTGCTTAATGTGCAAATAAATGATTATGTGTCCATTCTAAATCAAACAAAATTAGGTTGTTCATAATTTTTCGTAAGATTACATCAGAAAGCAATTAAAAACGGAAATAAATAAATATCAGAATAATATCTGGTATGGATACAAAGATACCGAGTGTAAGACAAACAATACTGAATTCAACATATCAAAACAATTCAAATCACTTTCAGAGGCATTCTGCTGCTGCATAAAATAAATTTTATTTTATACCTTTGACTCTTACCACGAAATGACGTAAATTTCTAATTTTTTTTCTGTTAATATAAATTCTGTCCATGGCCCAGAGGCATTGGAGCTGGACATTGCTGACAGACAACTTTGAAATTTACAAAGACAAGTTGACAGCTTCTAATTTTATTTTATTTACAATAATTACCAGCCATTGAGAAATGTCGATCACATCACTTACATGAAATGTAAAACAAAGCGAAACCCTTCTACATTTGCAGATACATGATACTAACAAATTTGCACGTGTAGACCTGATCATGATCATCATACGAATGCATGCATTGATTTACTTACTAATTGTCTTTTTAGGTCAATGTCCTCATGGTGAATTTAGATGTGTCGGTGGAAAATGTATTGACTACTCTTTGGTTTGTGATGGAAATCAAAATTGTGGTGTGAGTGACGATGAATCAGATGCAACATGTGGTAAGTCATTAACATATCACCTCGAGGCAGAATTAATCAGATTTTATTACGAAGAATGGCATGTTTAATTATTTCATTATGAATATAAAGATAACATATCAAAATTATAAATCTAAGTAAAAAATGACAAACATAGGTTGATAAAGTGTGTATTTGTTGCTATATTTGTCCTGCTATGACTGTGTTTACCTCCCATTCAGCTATCCCGAAAAATAATATTCAGTAGCAAATGTCTAGATAAGTCATACTTGATATGCATCACGTAAGCTACCAAATTAAAAGAATCTCATTAAAGGTGCTCATAATTTAATAAGCCACAAGATGGACGGGTTTGCATGAGACTTATCAATCGCCCACAAATTAAAACATTTGTACGACCACAATACGTCACGAAATTGAAGAGCATTGAAATCCTGAAAATAAAAAATTAAAAAGATGTGTGCCAAATCTGGCTAATTTTAGTAGTTTTGTTCAACTTTACAGTAGAAAAGCTAAATCAATAACAAAATTGAAGTTCTTTGATAACCAATGATTACAAAAACTTTTGTCAAATATGCCTAAGGCAATATATGTATGCTTGGTGATAGAAAAAGCTTAGTTCGTAAGATAATTACATTTTGTAAACTTTATAACAAAATAACCATATATTAAATGATATTCTATGTTCGGATTTTCAACCCAAGGTAAATATTATCTTAGCTGTATTTTTGAAACCTGTTTGGAAATTTGGGTCCTCAATGCTCTCCAACTTCGTACGTTATGTTGGCCTTATTTATTTTTTTTTATTTGACCGTCACGGATGAGTCTTTTGTTGACAAAAAGCGCGTCTGACGTACAAAATTTCAAGCCTGGTAATCTAAGATGAGTTAATTTAGGACAGATGTGGCTTCTAATCTGGTGATACCCTCAATGACGATAAATCCACCAGTAGGGGCATCGATAACGTGTCTGTGAAAACGTTTAGATTAACATCCCCATATAACGACGATTCATATTTGTGATAAATCATTCAAGACACTAGGCTTATCATTAGTGAATCAGAGTTGGGTAAAATTACTGGAGAGTCTAAACTTAGCATTTGGTGTGATGAGTATCCAAATAAAATAACATATATAATAAATTATTGAAAAAGAATCAAGCATAACCACTACCGATTATGTTTAGAAATCGAAAGGTGAACCACAAATAGACCATAAGGTGCGATGAGAAGTCGATGAGGAGAATCACGATCAAGTCAGAGTGTGGTGCGTAGAGAAATTTACTATTGAATCAGAACAGTGTGATTGACATGGTAAAGAATGAAATACAATGTAAATAAACACTCTGGATGATTATGATTCAAAATAATGACTCAAAATCAACGAACAGTTTGATAGTGAATGAATTAAAAGAAAGGAGTAAGGGTTAAATCAATTTTTACCATTTGAATGTTGCTTAAAATTATCTTTGTATAAATATACCAGGTTTTATCCTGATATTCAGTTTTAATGGTAAATAAATCGTTATTCACTTTAAAGCTCTCACAACACAGCCAATTACGACAGTACAAACGACCACTGTACCAGCGACCACAGTACCAGCGACTACAGTACCAGCAACTACAGTACCAGCAACTACATTACCAGCGACCACTGTACCAGCTACTACAATACCAACGACTACAGTACCAACGACCACAGTACCAGCAACTACAGTACCAGCAACTACATTACCAGCGACCATTGTACCAGTTACTACAATACCAACGACTACTGTACCAGCGACCACAGTACCAACGACCACAGTACCAGCAACTACAGTATCAGCAACTACAGTAACAGCGACCACTTTACCAACTACTACAATACCAACCACTATTGTATCAGCGAAAACAGTACCAGCGACCAATGTACCAGCGACAACAGTTCGAGCGACAACAACACAGCCGATAACTACACAAATAAAGACATCGCAACCAACAACAACAGGTACTGAATATAACATTGTCAAGTAAAATGGACATTAATTTTAACTTTTGATAAAAGGTTTTTCATAAGTGATGAAAATGTGTTAAAATCAGCTCGAGGAGAAACGCTTAGGTAGAGAAATACTGTTTATAGGCAAAACACTTTATTTATAATTATTGAAAAATTAAAACAACGATTTTATAAAACTAAACATTATGTATATCACGTTTTATCTTGTATATAAAAATTAGATTTGGTTAAACGAACTATAAGTAAAATGTCATTGTTAATGACTTTTAACCGTAGGAGACTAATCACCGGGTGTTATCTAACGAATAAGGATCGCTTAAATTCGACAGCATCTGAGTTCATTCAGGCGTGTAGTGGTGATTAACTTTAAGTACATTTAATATGCGTTTTTTCCCATTTATAACGTTCCAGCAACTACAAAAAATAAATACTTAAACGCCCTTTTCCTTTGAAATATACATCTATAGAATAAGAGGCGGGGTTTACAATCAAAAGGAACTATATTTGTGTAGTATTACTTTGGATTGCTTTCTCATGACTATGCATGCCTCGTTGGTTTAATCATGTCTTAGACAATTCCTTTGTATCTAAATGGAGTTGTAAGATTTAAAGTATAAAGTTTACTTAAGTATTCATAAAAAGTTCAGAATGATTACTTTTATTCTTTTAGAGAAAGAAAGTACGAAAGAGGTTCACTCATTACAAATGTAAATAATTATTGAGTGTGATACGTCCAGAGTGCAGAAATATCGTATTGCACGAGATTTGGTGGTAGAATCTCTTTCCCTAATGGTTTGTAGACGATATGCAGACAAACGTAATCCTTCTTTTCCAATGATCTGCAAAAATAAGTGTTCTTTCTATGTAAGGTCATCAGGCATGGTCGCCTTTTTTCATGACGCCACAATGTGAAATTCAGAGAAAAGCAAGAAAATTTTACTTCAAATTTGAATTTTGACCAATGAAGAACTGAGATCAAAAGAACCATACTTTGATTAAATAATAATAATCAACAGGTTAGGAAAAGGATAAATCAGTTAAGAATAAGAGAAGTCAATTTATTATTTTATACCAACAGCTTGTGAGTATCTGTGCCATCAGGATCGAAAATGTATTTCTAAAAATAAGGTTTGCAATGGACAGAAAGACTGTATGTTAGGAGAAGATGAGGACGATTGTCATATTTTTAGCATTCCTGTTAACGGTATGTCATGTTAACGGTATGTCTTGTTAAAGGTATGTCATGTAAACGAAAAGTTTATATATCTAATCTTTTAGCATTGAATATACCTGTTAACGGTAATTCTGGAAACGAGTGTTATGGATATAAATATTTGTTTATCCATACTTGTGGCGTCAAATTTAACTATTCGGATCCCTGAGACAGGTTTTTGAAATAACCGTTAACAGGTATGCTCAAGAATACACTTTTAGACCGTACGTTTGATATCAATGACGCTTGAAAACCTAGCCACACGTTTAAGCAGCAACAGGAACGAATATAGATAAATTAATTAGGACTATCAAACTTGTGAATATACATGAGGACCCAAATAATTCCTTAAATCAAGACTATAGCTGCTCTCACTGACGGGTGTTCATCGGGATATGAAGTTTTACGTTTTAAGATCATCCGCTATTTTCAAAAATATGTAAATCATCAGAATCGTTGTATCATTTGTATTACCATGATATAAAACGAATATATAAATATAGGATTGTACTGCAACTTCTCTATTTCTTTTAACCTCATGTTTGCCTGTTTTGTTATATATACACTTTGTTTATAATGCCCGGTTTTCGATGGGGTTCGTATCACTCAGTCTTAAGTTTTCTGTGGGTTTTAAAGCCTGTTGTATGTCTTTTTGTCTCTTTTGATCGTCTGCTTCTTTTTATAGAAGGTCTTTATTTATACACATATTGAGTGACAATAGAAACCACAACAAGTGATTCTCTATGCACTCATTGCTCCCGTTTTGAAACAATAAATACAACAAAGCTTTTTGAATGTTTTTAGATACTTTGAGTAGTTGCTACACGTAGACTTTAGTTTGTACCGACACATGATTGTCAAAAGAAAAACTTTTAGATTTACATTCAAATTTTACAAATTTCAGATTCATTGCCGTCTGATAACTTTTTCTGGAGGAGTTCAGTTTGCATGTTATGTATGCTTCGCTTTTAAAGCAGTCATAGTTGAGTAATTTGTCATCATTCAGATCTTAAAATTGCAAAGTTCAACAAACTGCCGAAAATATTAAAAGATTCGTTAACAATTTGCTAAAGAAAGGTCATGGAATTAACTTACAATCGGTGCTATTTTGTGAAAACATTAACTGTACCACAGTTATTTTGCCCTAAATTGCACTGTTTGTAAGCTTTATTTTAATTCTTTTAATTTCTCTTACTTGACCGAGTACCAGAATGTCTTACAACAGATTAGGCACTTTGTCGAAAAGTTCTATAAACTCTGGAGTCAAAAGTCGGTAACATGAAAATAGTCTTTTACGATACATAATAGTATGCACAAGATCTGATATCCTTTGACCAAGGTGGGAGACAATGTTGTAGATTTCATGGTCCGACATTACAGAGGGAGAATGATATGTTATAATCTATATCTGATAATCGTTTGATCTGTATAATAGTTTTGATTTGTACTATGTTTGTTTGTAGGAATAAATGTTGATGTCTTTTATAAATATATACGTAGTACTCTTTATTATATTTAACATAGAAACCCCTGATGATAATGGAGGCAACACTGGCAGCGATGGTAGAGGCGACACAGGCGGCATTAATGAAGGTCCTACAGGTGGCGACAATGGAGGCGGCACAGGCGGTAATAATGTAGGCCCTACAGAGGGAGATGATGAAAAGAAAGAAGATGATGACGGTAAAAATCCTTACAACCGCATTTCGTTTGTTTGATCGAAAAGAAAACAATGAAGTGATTCGAGATAATACAATGTATGAAATGTTCAATACAGACATCCTAAAGCCATATATAAAAAATACTGTTATATTTAAAATAAAGTAGATGTGAGATGATAGCCAATGAAACACCTATTCACCCAAGTTCGAATGACGTGGATGAAAGCAACCATAGCATGCATAGATAAATTTATATAATTAAACAATGAATACAACCCATATTGCATTGTCGGCTACAATAGGCCTTGGCATTACAAAATGCAAAACAATGCAAACGAGAAAACAAACAACCTGGTTAATAACACCAATAAACTAAAACCAAATATGACAGACAACAACCAACGACAACTGTTGGAGCAGAAGTTCCTGCCTTGAGAGAGGAACATAAAGAATGTGGCGGGGTTAAACATGTTCGTGAGCGCTTATTCCTACCCTAACCTGGGACAATAGTGTAAAAGCAAACCATATAAAACAAGCTGTAAAAATCAGTAGGAAATGGCTCGACTCATCAAATAGACACGAAGGACAAAAAACAAAATACGATAAAGACTAAAGACAAAAAATACCGATCTAGGAGTACTCATCAGTTACTGTAAGCTAGTACAGAACCAACTACGACAAATAAATAAATCATATTCTTCCGAAAAAAATTATCAATCAGTACGCATCCTCCGAATTTAGTATAAATGCATCATAAACAGTCTGAGAATTTACACCGTTATTTTGTGTCACTCGCGTATTTTTCACAGCCAGTCAGACTAGGGCAAATTTAAAAGCTTGACATGGAGTATTGGCACTATTTGGTATTGTTGAACACCGTTTGATGACCGGTCTTTTGATTTTTTAATTTGATGGAGTTGTATCTCATTAAAACCTTTTTCCTTTTCTCCATTTCTCAATACCTTACGTGTTTTGTTATGTTAACAACAAGGCTACATGGGACGTTTCTATTTTCAGAATGCGGATCGAATTACATAATGGACTTTTTCAATGATTGTTCGGGTAAGTAGAGCAAATGTTGTCTTTAAATTCATTTTGCAATGTAAGTGAGGATATTACAATTAATTGTAAAATAATTCAAACAAATATCTTTACAGAATTCAATATTCAAATAAGGAGATGTGCCTTGATTGTCAATGTGACAACTTTTCACCCGGAGACAAAAAGATGAGGATGTAAACAATAGCAGGTCACCGGTCACAATAAAGAAAAAACATACTTAACTAGTATTTCATACTTGTTTAACATATTGATATGTTCGCTCTACAATTAGTGTTTTCCTAATTATTGGTCAAAAATAAATGCCTCGAGCGTCTAAACTTGTGATAAAAGAGTTGCAGATTCGGATGTACACATATAAATGAATCAGGATTCTATAAATCGCTTATATCATATTAAACAAGTTTGCAATGATTGTTGTAAAGTTGAAAAGATTGTCAATGGTACTGAACATATATCTATAATTTTACAGTCCTTGAATGGTATAAACTTCCCACTTACATAATACACCATTACACTATACACGAGACACTATTACACCATACACCTTACTCCATACACCATAACACCTTACTGCATACTCCATTTATATCATCAACGTTTTATTGAGAATACTTTAATTACAGGTGCAACAAGTGTGGGAATAAATATCATGGTATTTGGACTTTGTTTTCTGGGAGCAATTTATATCATAGCTTGATTGATCAGGGTTTACCCAGAACTCATTTAAAAATTTTAATTGTTTTCTTTAAGATTATATAGCTTCACGGATCAGGGTTTGACCAGAACTCATTTCGATAATATATTTGTTTTCTTTTAAGTGTGGATTTTCATAGAACTTAAATATGATTATGCTTGGCATATTACATTTCACAGTTATTTATCAGTACTGTTTGCTGTTTACATATGACCATGTTATGTGATTTATCATGTTTATTGGAAAAAAATTGTAGTCTTCTTAACTTTTTCATATAGTAGCTTGCTGATTTATTTTAACGAAATCCTTTAAAAACTAACAATTTTGGCAATAAACGATTTTAAAATGATTTTATCATAGATTGTGAACACTGTACAAAAGTAAGAA